CATGTAACTGTTAAGCCACTGAATTGAACAAGATGGGAGAATCGGATCGATGCTTTAAACCCCATAAATACCATCTTGATAGTATATAAGATGCTTTAATAGAGATCTTTGAAGACACAAGGCTAAAGAATTTATCTGGAAACACTTCTCGAATTCAAGCTAAGGTCCTTGCTGATGAAGTTTGTAAGTTCAAATTTGTGGTATCCCTTGTTACATGGTACAACATTCTTTTTGAAATTAATCTTACAAGCAAGCTGTTACAAAATAAGGAAAATGATTTAAATTCAGCTACAAGCCAATTGCAAGTGACTAAGAATTACCTTGTGGGCTGTAGGTGTGATGGGAGTTTTCAACAAGTTTTGATGGATGCTACTGAGATTACAAAAGAGCTAGAAATATTACCAAACTTTGAGAAAGAACAAGTTAGAAAAAGAACAAAAAGCAGTTTGATTATGAAGCACAAGAGGAGGCACCACAAAATCCAAAGCAGAAATTCAAAATCAGTTTCTATTATGCTATCTTAGACATGGCCATGCAATCTGTTGAAGAGAGATTCCAACAGCTACAACAATATAATTCCTTGTTTGGCTTCCTGTATGACATATACAAGATCAACAAAAATGTACTGAAGCTGTACTTAAGGCCTGAAAGAATTTGGAAAAATCATTGATGTACAATGGAAACAAAGATATTGATGCTGAAGATCTGTGATGCAAATTTATAGCAATAGCTCGAAGACTTCCAAAATTTATACCACCACAAGGAGTACTTCTCCTCATAGTGCAACAAAAACTCCTGGATAGTGTGCCTAATGTTTCTGTTGCTCTAGAGATCTTTCTCACACTTCCAGTGTCAGTGGCTAGTGGTGAACACAGTTTCTCAAAGCTCAAGCTTATAAAAACACATTTATACTCAACAATGCTGCAAAGTAGACTAGCTGGTTTGGCAACTATATCAATTGAACATGCAGAAGCATCAGCCATTGACCTGAAGGAATCAGTGACAAAATTTGCAAAAGAAAAGGCATGCAAAGTGAGATTTTGATGTGGCAAAAATAGAAACATTTAAGAGACATTACAGTTCATACGATGATTCAAGATGATTTGTGTGCTAAAACTGTTTTGTATTTGACAAAGAAAATTGAAGACTGTTCTGTTACTTGTTCTCTCAGTTTTTTAAAATAACATTTTCACAGTTTCAACATTTGTACTTTCTGTTCTTCCTACAATTTGTCTGTTTTTGAAAATTGGTTGGTGGGGGGGCGGAAGTAGTTAGTCTTGCCTAGGGCACAAAACAGCCTGGCACAGGCCCTGTGCACAGCTTCCCTGGGGCTTCTCTACTTCAATGGCACCATATATGCATGGGTTTCATCCTCTTTTTAATTAATGTTTTGTTGACTGCTTGTTTGCATTCCTTACAAAAGAGTGAAACTGGATATATTTGCCTTTCACTACATTAGGAAATCATCAGTCTGCTGCTGTACACTTCCATGCATAGATATGCATACAAAATCTGTATATTGCTATTTTCTTGTAAGCTGTAATGTGAGTTTCTATATACATTCGTTTTATACAGCAGGAGGGAATCACAGGAACTGATACCAGAGGCTAAACTTTGTTTTATGCCAGACAGTCAAATTCCTTGTGGTCACACATCCCCTGTTCATGCAGGTCTCTAGCTAGATGTTCATTACTGTTGCTCATGTTAGAAATAACTTCTCTACCCCTGATTGAAAACTGCTGGATCTCAGATCTTCTTGGAGAAAGACAGAAAGGGGAGGTAAAGAAACATAGATCATCCCGAACAAAACACAGCTGCTCACCACATGAGTATATTTTAAAAAACAACCACCACGAAGGATATAATGATGATTTGCAAGTTGCCCCTATATTGTTTAAACTTTTCTGATCTGAATCTTGAGGGAGGGGGGATTTATTAATTACCAGGAAAATGCTGAAAACGAGCCATTATTTCCCCTTCTATTTACTCTTTTAAACCAAAAAATTTAATTTCTGTTTTTAATCCACATATATATCAATATATATTTGTGAATAAAGTAGTTCAAGGGCAAAGTGTTTCATTTACATTATCTTACAAATCATTATAATTCTCAAGATAAACTGGTGGTATTATTGTTGTTGTTGTTGTTGTGCCACATTTCTCCCAACAAGGGACCCATTTTCATCCTATTATCCTCATATTCTATACCTGAAGGAAAAGTAGAGAGGAAACTGACAATGGTCACTGAGGAAAGGCCAGGTCACAAGGTTTGCTCTGAGGCATCAACATTCTAGGCCCTTTGAAATTCTCCAGCTGCTCCCAATGTGCTTATTGTTCTCTTCCGGACAAGGGGACAAGCCCACAGTGCAGGAAGACAAACTCCTATTACCTAACTTGTTCTAACAAGTTTTGAAAGCAGCCTGACTGGTCTTCTTATGTAGTCCAGCTCAGAAACCTAACAGGTGCCTATTTTGGCATACTAGAAGTTCTTGCAAGCATGTGTGATGGCTCCTTAGTCAACCTAGAAACAGCAATTACAACCATTCGGTGTCAAGGTATTCAAGGTCAGGAATTTGGAAGGCTCTCCCTAATGGTAGATCTGCAGCTCAGAACCCCTAAATAGCCACTGGAAACACCCTGTTGAGGCTGATTTAGTGGCAAAATGGGAGACAGGAATGTCTTGTCCAGGAAGATTTGGACTGCCTTCCTCTCTGATGACATTTTTGTTTTGCTGGCCTTCAGTTTGTAAAATGATTGGTATGCTTTTTTCTCCTGACCTTTTTCCTGTTTCTCTTCCTGTTCTGTGAGGAAAATGTACTGGGTTCCCAGTTATCTTAACACATGACCAGCAATGCAACCAGCATCTTGTTTATGAGTGGCGATTTGCCACCAAGATGTACATGCTCAGCAACAGGATTATGATTTCTATATGTTCTTGAGCTATATCAAGATTGATGTGTTGTTTTTTACTCTGTTTTGAGAGATCTTGACTGGCTATATTGGGGCAGAATGGCAGGATACAAATAATTTCAATGAACAAATTAAATACAAGGAAGCAGACAGGAATAAGTCAGCAACGAAAGGGAAGAAAATGGGTTTACTTGCGGTGAGAGAACAGAAAAGGGGAAAGATTAGGACAATGCCCCTGAGAAAGATACACAGATGTATGGCTGGCTACTGAGAATGTATAAGATTCCAGTAGAAAGACACAGTCTGTAAGATGCAGTTAAGGCCTCAAGGGAGAAATTGCCGGTCAAGTTTTACCATGTCTTTTACTAAGGAAAAAAAAAACAGACTCCTGTCACTTACAGTCTGGGTCTCATTTGCATGAGCCTATGAGAGGAGTGGAGGGGGGGAGTCAGCAGAAGGTGGCAGGGAGAAATAGAATAAGCACAGGGAAGCAGAGAGAGATAGAGAGATAATCAGTGAGATCATGAGAAGAAATAATAATAAAGATAAGCTGGTCAAGATAAGTAGATAGAGCAGGTGGTGAAGGTGGCAAGAGATATGATATTTGAATGATTTGATTATATGCATTGAATAAATAGCATCTGTGATTCTGATTAAAGTTAACACCTTTCGATAAAGCAGTTCTGTTGGCAGCAATCTGACAAGTGTCTGAATAAAGTTCTTTATATGTTGTGGATAAAGGAAATCCACTGGTGGCAGTGGAAAAAAGGGAAACATCTTGATTGTTATCCGCTGATAAGAAGACAAACAGGGGTTACATGGAAAACGTCACACAGGCCATCTCATAATATAAATTTGGAGAGGCCAACTCTATTGTACAAATAAGCCAAACATCACATTACTCAGGAGAACCAACAATGTATCTCCCAAAGCCTTTCTTTTCTTTTTGCTCTTTTTATTT